AACATAGTTCCAATAGAAAGCATAAAACTAATGTGTTGTACTACTGTGTTTATAGCTAGTGCTAATTTTCAACTTTTGTCCATAGCTGTGCTTTACATGGTGTAATTAAAATAGTACGTTTGCATTATCATAAAACCATATGATTTCTACCCCAGTGAAGTGTGTGCATCCTCGAAACCAATCTTCGGATCAGTGTTGTGTTACAGCTCGTTGCACTGCCCCCAAGTGGCCAAAAAATAAATAATTGCAGGTTTAAGTTAAATGCCAAAAGGAACTGTATATCTTGGATGATGGTGGCATTGGAGGAATTATATTATGGTAAAAGTTGGACAACACTTGTAGAAGGAAAAAATGATGGCTGAATGAAATGGCAGAAGCGGACTGCAATGTAGAAACTGGGCTCAAAGGTCATTACTTAAAAAATGTAGAAAAAAAAAGAAAAAAAAAAGAATTTTTTGGAAAGAACTGAAGTCAAAGAGGAAGATTTGAGTAGTAAGAAGTATTAGGAACACTAAAGGGATAGCTCTATTACCAAAATGTGAATTTCTACAAATGTGTCAAAATGTGTCAAAACTGACAGCCTGTGGTGTCCTCTACCACAAACTGCAATGTTCCCAATTTGAGGACCTTGCATGTTGCATGTAATCACCATCTCTCTCTCTCTCTCTTCTCACACTTCCTGTTTACATTCTCCATCATAGAAAAATGCCAAAAACATTCACCTCTCTCTGTTCTGTACTTCTGTCTTACTGTCTATGCAGGTCCATTTACCTGCTTTTATACAAGCGAATAATTCATCCAGACATATGCAAATTAGTTTGAGTGACATGCATGTGAACATGCTGCATAATTAAATGTTGTCTGCACTCACTCAAGTTGACAAAAATTGGTTCTTTTTAATTGTTTTGCAGCTCGTGTAAGAATGGCTTTTTCTTCTTCTTCTTCTGTCACATAAAGACAGACTGCCTGAGATTATTTTTTGGATCACTGCTTTCCTTTCAGACCCAGGCAGAGCTTTATCCTTCTCTGCCTGTTATATCTAAAGTCATATCCCATTTGCCCAAGGCACAGAGGGAGATATACGACTCCCGTTGAAATAAAACTGAAACTGAACCAATATACATAGTTGATTCCTTTATTCGGTTACAAAAGCATGATGACTTCCTTCCAGGACACTTTGGTTAGAAAAAAAAGTTTATTTCTCCAAAAGTTTGATTCCTAATAGCTGTAGTCTTTTTTATTTTTTTAAACTGAGAACCCATTTATTGACCATTGTTTTCAATTTAAAACTCAGCAACACCCTTTTCAAAGTTTAAAAAAACAACAATAATGATGTTTCTGGTGAACAAACTGATTAGATTCCAATAGTAAAATACTGTGAAAAAGGAAAACGACAAAGAAATATTCAAATGGTGTTAAATTTCAAGCACTTAAAAAACACCAACAAATTAAAATGAAACTAACTAAAAACTGGCTTTAAACAACATTAGCGTCTACAGATTATTCAACATCAGTGTGTGTGTGTTTTTTTACACCCCTCCAAGTGTATAACACTTTCCTGGCACCCCAGCTGTCCTTTATAATACAAACATTGAGTGTCTTATTTTTTTTTTATTTTTTTTTTTACAAATCTTGTTATGGCATATAAAACATCTGTCTGAGGGTAAAGCCTCCACTGAAGAGTGCTGTGCTGTGTCCTAATTAATACAACATCAGCAAAAGAAGACGCAAAGATGAAGGAAGAAAGTAAAAGTACTCACGCAGTAGGTAACTAATCCAGGTACACTGAGGCATGATTTGTAGGAGAACAAACATTTTCACTGGGGGAAGAGAAAAAGCATTTTATATACATAAGAGGTGGAGATATGTATGATTTCAGTAAACTCTGACTGCCCATTTTTCTTGCCTGTATGAGGATGTACGGAAAGAGAGAGGTCATACATTAGATTTGGTACTCTTTTTTTTTTTAAAGCAGAAACTCATAGGAGAAGAAAAATAATAAGACGGCCAGTTGTGGAAGCAGAGGATGAGCGGTGCTGCCTTTGTACAGGCGCTTGGCCTCTGCTGTGAGATGAGAGGTCAGCTAGTGTGTGCGGTACATAATGTAAAGGTGACCTCTGGCATCAGACAGCAGTGAAAATCCCATTTCCAGCAACAACCTTCCAGTCACCTTGAAGTAAAATCACACTGTTAGGACTCGTAGATATCGACCATGTGCGATGATGATGATGTTCAGTGCATTTCAGGACATATTATTATGAATTGCTGTAATTTGACATTTTGATGTAGCCCCTTTTTGCTCAACCTGTGTCATACGGTAAAGGTTTCCCATATCTCAGTACAATCTCTGTGACAATCCAGGTACCTGAAATTGCTGCATTGTGGAATATTTGTGTGGGTGGAGAGAGAGCAGAAGATAGACAGGCAAGAGGGAAGAAGGGAGATTTTCATGTTTCTAAGAAGGCACATGATGTAACCTTTACACAGCTGTGATGCTATTGGTTTTGTCGCACTTTGATGGTTTTCACCTGTTGAGTTTACAGGAAAAGGCTGGCGATATTCTGTTTTTCTTATTGACAATAAATCCTATGAGAAGACCTATGAGACCAAAACCAACAATCAATTGATCTTACAGAACAAGTATTGCTGATGTAGTTGAAGCCTGTTAAACTGAATGTATTTATTTCTTTGCTTCTATTATTTATAACATTTCACTGAGCCGCAGTGTTTCACTGGCTGACATTTTCCTTCATTACTACGAAAATGAACGCTGTAGTTTGTTATTTCTTGAATAAACTCCACACCATCAGGCTGCACTATAGAGTGCAGCAAATACGTATTAATCTGCAGCTAAAAATAGTCCCTAATAAACTCACTGTTTACTCCTGTTTGAGAAACGTTTACTAAAAACTACAGTGCACAGCTGTTTGAGAAAAATACAGAGCTTATTAAAAAAAGAAAAAAAAAGAAACTTTATATTTGCTTCCTGTTTTTGAAATATGGCATGGAGAATATCTTCATATGGAATTAAGGGGCTTTGGATTGAGTATCACAAACAGGGTAAGGAAAACAGCCAACTGAAAAAAAACCCCCAGCTTTATCAGGATTGTGTGTGTGGGTGTGGTTTTGATCAGATTTGATTGACAGCGGGCCAACAACATCAGTAAACAACCCTGCAGCTGTCATCACATTTTGACTCTAATATTGCTAAATCCTAGCTGCTTCACAAAAATATGCGATATCACCTTTTCCAAACCGAGTCTCGCTCACGTCACTCGAGTGAAAAGAGCTCAGACAAGAGCAAAGATACGGAAATCTTTCATGTGAAACGACCAAAACTGTTAGAAGTTTAGGCAGAAAATCGTGAGTCCATGTTGGAACCCATTGCTAACTGTAAGAAGCTGATTCAGGGCCTTTGCAAGACGAACCAACACATTGTTGTCATGTGCTGTAATTGTTGACCATAAGAAAAAAATCTCGCCAGCCTTATTTGATATGATTGTAAACCATAGCATTAGCTTAAGTTTTGTTTTCTGCTGTTGGTCAGTAACTCATGGGAATATCCAACAGAATGAACCAAGAAATGCAAAGTACATCATCAAAAGTCCTTTTGTTTACATTATTGAAATGTTTTGGGATGAAATTTTCCTTTAAAGCCTCCGTGTCAATCCCAGGTTGTCTGCCCATTTTCATCTCTGCCCTCTACGGTCCAGGGCCTGCCACTCTGATTTCTGTTTACTTGACATGATCTAAGAGGGGGATCTCCACAGCAGGGCCGTCCAGTGATCACAGCAACCTTGACCTCCAATAAATAACAGATAATAGCGTCTGTGAAACTTCCATGTCTGTGCTAGCTAGCAACAGCGAGAGGAGGCCAACTTTCCTTTTATAGGCCACGCACAATCTGCAGGGGATATGCAACCCTCAATAAATTGAGAGTGAATAGCTGCGCTGTCCATTTCATTAAAACTGAATATGGCTGAAAATACATCACAGGAGTGAGTGAATTATGCAGCAACAGCTCTAACAATAGTTTGAGGAATATTTTCTCCAGATTATGTCTGAATTTGTCGATTTTTGTCCTTTAACATGCTGCAAATAGACTCCCTAGTATATCAATGGATATGCTATGAATGTCACAACAGTAGAATACAGTGTAAGGTCACTCAATACTGTACATAGCCACAGAGTTATGTGTCAGTGTGTTGTCTCACACAGGTCAAAGTAAGCATGTCTGACTCTGCGCTCTGTGATCATTAAATACTAAAACTCTCTACCTATATGCCGGCCAAACAAATGACCCAGCAGCAATAAGTGTATAATGTATCTGTGTTCATTTGTGAGAATGGTCATATGGCACAAAGACAAGGCATGATGTGTTAAATGAGGTGTAGCAGCAATGCATGTTTTGTTGTAGCCTGGTCAACCGCTGAGTTAAACAGCATTGACCTTCAGTCGAGGATAAGTCAAATCAAACTACTTCTGACAAAGCTCTTTATGCTATTACAACAGTGTAAACCATATACTATATCGTAAAAACTGGCTATGCTACACAGAGCATGTTGTCCTTCCAAAATGGCGTGTAAATGTGAGAGTGAAAGAGAGCGGGAATGTCCCAAAGCAATATCAAATCATCGTAGCAGTCACAAGTGTTTGTCCTCCTCTGCCACATCTGTGCAAAGACACGTTCCATCAGCCATCACAAAGCATCTAGGTAGTACAAGGTCAGCAGTGGAGGTGAAGATATTGCACACGCAGACTAACGTCAACAGCTCCATCGAAATGGCACAGCGCAGGCGTCACACTGAAGAAAAGAGAAAGAATTCTTTTTTTTTCTCCACATAAATGAACACTGTAAAAAATTCAAAAACACGCCCCCATTGACGGCTTCTTTATTGCAGCACATTTCCTTCCTTTTTTCCGGTATCTCTTTTTCAAACATCCACTTATTTAAAAAAAAATGTCGCGAGTCTCTGTTCGTAGTTTGTACGGAGCGGTTTGAGAGTGCATTTTGGCAGTAAGTAAAGTCTTAAAAGAGTTGGGCGCGTTGACAGCCAGGAGAACAGATGGGTCAAACTGGACAGCCATGATTTTTGAGGTCCTTAAGAGTCTTGTGCTCTGCTTTTGCCCCACCCTGCCTATTCCTCGCCACCAGCACAGTCATGTGATGATCACATGCCGGAGGCACCCAGTCCCATGCTGGCGGTGTGGCTCATACAGGGCAGCGTCTGAACGGTCTTGGGGAAGTCATGTGTGAGGATTCGTCCATTCTCTCCGCCGCTCCCGTTGCCACTCATCCTGGTCAGGGTGGAGCAGCGCATGGCGTCGTTGATGGATTGCTGTAGAAACAAAACAGATTACAGTTAGTCTGCGTACCAGATTTCTACGTATCTCACTCTATGTATATCCTAATGACAACAGAGAAAGCTTATGCAACACTTAGAGCTAGCAGCGCACAGAGGTACGCATTTTAAAAGGTCTATCAGCTATTGAAGGATCAAGATAAACCTGCAGAATGTTATGCAGTTTCTCTGGTGTTTGTTATATGAATATATGCACATAAGCAGCTGTTGATGTCACTATCTGAATGTGGTGCTGGCACAACAAGAAATTCAGAATGGGCTGTTAGGAGTCATAGGGTACTAGTTTTCGCCCTCTTTATCTGGGCCTAAGTGCTATTCGCGGGTGGTAAACCGTGGCGCTGGCCGATGTGCATCAGCGTCCTAATTTGCAACAGGAGGAGCAGAGCGAAGTGTAGGCAGTAAGAGAGGAGCTGAGGCTTCACTCATTGGTTTAATAGCTCCATTCTCCAGCCTGGCACAATAAAAGCCACTGGGCCCGAAAGCCGACCTAATGATGTGTGATGCATGTGTGCGTTTGTGTGTGTGTGTGTGAACACGTGCCTCTTTGGTGTCTGCCTGCCTCCCCTATTCTATAGCTGATTAAATTGGGCAAAGCGAGTGCAACCGGTGAGTGTTGCAAGGGGACTGGAGAATCACACCGCCCTCTAATTGGAACGGCGTTGTTGTTTCTTTCAAGCCAAACAGCATAAAGGCACCGCTGGACTAATAGGCTCCTCGCCAATCTCATCAGCATACTGATCAGGTGCCTCTTCGTAGGGCTGATTAAAACATAAGAGATTCTTGTCCAAGATCACTCCTTGTCTTGGCCCTGCCTTGTTTTCTTTTTCCTTCTTTTTTGCTGTTTACATGAAGAGTATATCAATACGCCACAAGGGGCTTTGATGTTGGAAGAATGAATCAAAGATTGTTTGTTGTAAATTGATCCACGAGGCAGATGACTAACAGCTACCTTATCGCAGCCTTTTGGAGGACAGACCTCACATCCCCAAACGAAGTCTAAATCAACAAGTCCTTATGCGTTGAGACCTCTGAACATACAACAGTTTGAGTTAGACCTGTCTGGGTTAAAGCAGTGATGGAAAACATGTGAGCCGCAGCAGGCCTGCCTTATGGTATACATATAAAGGATGTTCACCACAATGGGCCCTGCGTTTGCGAGACAGTCAGCAAAAAGAGAGGAAGGAGCAGGGAAGAGGTTTGCTCAGAGCGACAGAGGTAGATAGATGTACCACTGTGATTCAAATTGCCTTTATACCTGTGCTGCAAAGTGAAATTTCTTCACTTGTGGAGAGATTATTGTAATGAGTGCAGAAATAGGATTTAACCAGAGGCCTGTGATTAACATTTCTGTAAGCTGAAATAAAATGGTGAAACGTGTATTAGAAATTTTAAACTCTACTTTGTCCAACAGAAAAAGTGATATATGATGACATAATGCAGAGTAAAGAGTACTGTTCTCTTGTAGTGACGAACTAAAGGAAAATGTTATAAGCTAACAACCCTGCGACACTAACACAGGGAAACTGATTGAATTCAAAGAATATGTAGAAAGAGGCATAAGGGCAATTTAAAATCAAGTGATTCGACAACACTGCAGGAGATCAGTGACGTAAAGACTGAGCGAGGGAGCGGCAGAGGTAGAGAGAGGTACAGGAGAGCGTTTGCACTGCGGTGGAAGCCTTGAGAGGCCCTACTGTGATCACGGTTAGATGGGCGGAGGGGTGTGAGGAGGCGGATGTCATCGTCATCATCATCATCATCATCATCATCATCATCATCATCATTTTCATCATGGCTTGATCACAGCGTTTCCTACCCCGTGTCTGTGCTCTGCCCTTATATCTTAACAGTGTTGTTGGCGTACAGGCCGTAGCTCTGCAGCTCTGTGTAGGGGGCGCTAGCACCACTGTCTAAGGCTGAGCAGTGAAAGGCCTGAGCGGCTGAGGCGGCAGCGGCTCGCGCGGTGGACACCTTCATTCGGCGCGACTCGGTCCTGGACTTGTAGCAGAACTCCACCAGCGCCACCAGCATGGCCAGGCCCAGGCCACCGATCAGGATGTAGAAGACTCCTGCCACATTGCTGAGGCTCAGAGCGCTCGTCTTGTCCTGGAGGGAGGAGGGGGAGGAAGAGTGGGCAGAGCAAAGTGTTGAGGAGCAATACCAAAGACTGTGCACATACACACACATATGACACACACATACACAAGTGCAAGGACTCAAATTCACTATAGCAAAATAACAAATATACTCAAACAGACCCATACATACTTAGGAGCACACACACAGACACAGACACAGACACAGACACAGACACACACACACACACACACACACACACACACACACACACACACACACACACACACAGAGAATACAGGTGAGCCTGTACAACCATGACACAAGAGGACAAGACACACACATAACCACACAAAAACAAGACATTGACAATAAAAACATATTTCAGAGGCCTGTCTCACAGAGTAGCATTTAATATGTTAGCTGGATAACCTGGAAGAAGTTTTTGTTCCGGCAACTGTGAGGAGATCTTTGAGTAATAATCCAAGTATGGATAAAATTACTGTACTGATCATGTTAAAATAACTTTATATAAAATGGTAAAATGACTTTGTTTTATTACTACTATTAAGATAATTTATTACATCAGAAATAGATTAAAGATTTGTGATAAAGTCAGTGTTCCTCTTTGACTACAAAACAGGGCTTCCAGCAAAAACATTACAGTACTAGACAATGTTGGAAAAAGACAGTTTGACAATACATTTGGTCAGGGTTAGAGAATGCTGTCACCTGTCAGAGGGCTCAGTAAATTTATGATGACACTGCATGATACCCCCTGCCCACTCAACTTTTGGCACATTTTACAATAGGTATTGATAAAAAAAAAAAAAAAAATCATAAATAATTTGTAGTTGTTCCTTTGTGGCTATAAACCAGAGTTTCTCACAGAACAGCAAGTACAGTAGGTAGTCAGAAAAGCCTTGAATAAAGTCTACTGCTGCATATTAATTGCACTGAGGTCGAGTGTACACTGTTGGACTCATATTCCATCACTGCAGAGACAGAGAATGTGAGGCGACTTCATGATGACACTATCATATAAATAAGAAGTATTCTGACTGCGCCCTAATGACGAGAAGTAATCAGCCTTTTTAATTTAAAAAAGAAGAATGTCTGCACACTGAAAATTAGCTCCCAGTGATTTATTCAAGCCACATTTTGGTCACAGGCCTTTATCAAGTCATTTTTAATTTAACAAAGCATGCTGCCGCAGTGCTCCTCTCTACAGAAACAGAGGTTACATTAGTGAAACATTTTAATTTTCTGTTTGTTTCATATTTATTTGTGTCATTTTTTTTCTTCATAAGGGAAGAAGAGAAAGTTATTCATGTTTCTTTGAAGATCCCACATGTTGCAAGTGCACGGGTTCATAGCTTTGTTGAAACAAGCTTTCTAAAACCAGATTCACCAGTGTTAGATTAGATTAGTAAAGCTAGACACTAATTGAAGAGCCTCACTGTTTGAACTTGCTTCGTGAGACAGGCCCCAGATATTGAAAACAGATACTGATCTAACATTTTTGACTATACATTTCTAAAAATTTTACACAATGTCTCAGTCAAATTACTCAAACACACACAACTATTTTCTAGAAATAACATTTTGTGAGGGAACTGGTAGGTACAGGTAAAATGCATAAACACCCCACAACACATGCATTCATGCAGCAACAGCACAAACAAGTCATTTGACAAGTTTGACATTGCTTCATATTATAGGCCATTATTCTCTATTGCAATGGTACCTACTTACATTTATGCCTATTTATAGTCTATAATTAAATGGAATCATTAAGATTAAGACTTAAATCAGTCAACATAATTTAAGTCATGGAACAATGAGGACTAACGGGGAGGTTATTTCATGTAAATCCACTTGGGGAATACATTTGAGATCAATGCCACAGGGAAAGCTATGCTGTTACAGTTGTTATTATGCCTTGACATGCATTTGAGTTTACAATTAGCACAGGCTATTAGCCACCACAGATTTTCAGGCTTTTATTTCTCCATTAACTTAGATAAATAGATTTTAACTCCAAGGGCAAATTTGCATTTTAATACATTTGGTCTGTCTTTGGGCCGAACATCATTTAGATAAACCATGCCATATAAAGTAGTATTATGCGATGTAATTAAGGTTTTTATACTCAAGTGTGTCAATCTGTGTGCTATGGACGACTGAGAGTATGCCGATTTCAGAGACTAATTCTTTCTCTCAGGTTGAATTTATGTTTATCACCTGGAGCTGTGTTCACAAAGCTTCCTAATGTTGGTCCTAGCAGCCAAATCCTTGGATGGAGTGTATGTGAATGTGTGTGTATTCAAACTTTCTACTTAAAAAATACAAAAGCTACTAATGAAGTGTCTTCACACAGTGAATAAATGTTTAGAATAGAGAGTTAAGAGTTGTTCTAGAGAGTGTAGGTGTACTTTAAGCAGATGAGAAAATAGTTGCAAAATGAAAAGCATCACATATTGAAAGAATAGCTTGTTCAGTTTGTTGCAGAGAGTGTGATGAGAAGATTGATACCTTTCTCATCCCTGTATGGTAAATATGAAGCTAAAGCCTGCAGCCAGTTAGCTTAGGTTAGCATAAAACAGAAATATTAAAACATAAAATTACCAGGGTTTATGTGCCAGATTGTTTTATTAAATAAAACAAATTAAATGCAAATAAAACCTATGTGTTAGTGAGCTTTACAGCTGCTGCCAGGTGGATTTTAGCTAAGCTAGTCGTTCCCCTGTTTCCAGTCTTTATGCTAAGCTATTTTAAGCTAGCTGCAGCAACATGGTTAGTGCATAAATATGAGAGTGATTAAATCTTCTTATTTAACTCCCAGGAAGAAGGTGATCGAGCAACTTTTCCAAAATGTCAAATTATATCTTTCAAGTCATGTTCCCAAACACAATATTTACTACTCTACTACTCTACTCTATTCTACTACTAGAGATTGAAAATTTCACAGTAAACAACTCTTAAATATGAATTTATAACTTGTGACTTATGTCTGCAAACATTATTTGTTAATTGACCAATGACTAAATTAACAAATAATGGGAGTACCTTGCTTTGCTATGTTAAAATCTCTACATAATATAATATTATTTGTAAGATGTTCCACAGAGACAGAGCCCACCATAGCACATAGTTTGACACCCCTGCATTCAACTATGAAAATATGAGCAGGGGGAAGGAAGAGAAAAAGATCTTGTGCTGACAGATCAGAAGGTCGGTTACATCTCAACCACATTCAGAGGTAGCTGAGCTCAAGAGCAAAGCTTTTCTGACACGAAGAGCTGCTTCTTGAGACAGTGGATAACATAAACCACAAATGCATGCAAGCACAGTGGCAGACTTGGTGTGACTTGGGGGTCGATCTAGCAGATTGACAGGGTTTGCATCCGTACATGCACACTCTCCAGTGTGAAATGGGGCAGAATTATCATAAAGGTTATGGCAAAGGCTATGGCTAAACTTATTTGAAGGGTTCAGTAAAGTCCAATGGCCTAATGTCATCATCTGTCTCCCTCATGTCCTGTTTCTTTTTCTTATTTTTTTTTCCTCCTTGGGAAGGAGATCTATTCTAGCAAATTACTTTCAGAGTGATTTTTATTTAATCTAGTACAAACTCAAGGTTATCATAGGACTTGATCTGTGTGTATGCGTCTGTGTGTGTTTGGGGGGTTGGACAATCTATTTTAAGAGGATTTATTCCACCTATATGGTAACTGTAGTCCCTATGTGTATAACAGTATAAATAACAATCCTAACTAATCCACCACACAATATTTATTTACACGCTGGTAATGAACATTAAATCTCTGACAACACAAGCTCATCAGTGGGAAGAAACAGACACCGGAGTACCACCAGAATACTGGCCCAAATATAAGACGATGTTTTCCTTTGAAAGATACATTTTTAAAAGTGGGGGTCCTTTCACATAAGAGGACCAGACATTTTACATATTCACAACAGCGGATGTCTTTGATTAATGAGGGCTCGTGTGCTACAGAATTGCTACTCTACGACAGACCTGTGCTAAGCTAGCTTGTTTTAGTGTTGCTGAGCATGCTATGGTCTAATACCTGCTAGCACTGATCAACCCCAAAAATTTCCAGTAAGCTATGTCACATTTGAAAGGACAAAAGAAAACCAATTTGTCCTGTTGCCAATTAAAGTTGAATTCATAGGCAGTAAAAGACATTGATGTTCAGTTCAATACAGTTAGGGCTTTCCCTCATATAGTCTTACTTGGTTTGGTATGACCCATTGCTTTTGGTGGCTAATGTTAGCACAAATTAGTTATACTGTAGTGTAACTGATATCGCTGAGTCAGTGTGCTGACTTCACTACTGTTAAATTGTGCTATAGCATTAACTATGGTCCTTTCAATGACACTGGCTGCTCTTCAGCAAGTTATGTAGACTAAATTACATGTAAATCTTACAGCATAAATGGATTGCGTTCACTCGAGTGTTTTCATTTTTGAACATGGCTAGACTAGAAAGAGAGCTGAAAATTTAGAAAACACAAACAATTTCCTACATTTGTGGAAAAATGTGCTTACTGGTGCTACCACAAGGAGTGTGCACCAATCATTCACCAATCATCATCAGCAGTAGGGGTAGCCAAGTTTCAACAGCAGCAGCATTACACATTGTTGTAGTGATAGTAGCAGTATAGCTGTAATATTAGCATTACTGACAGAGGCAGTAGTAGAAGTAGCAGTAATAGCAGTAGTAGTGACAGTAGCAGGAGGGGGTTGATTTGATTCCATTTTATTATTGGAATTCAAAATGTTTCTTGATGAAGCGAAAGTGTCCAATCAAATTATTTGTTTTGCTAGACTGATGCACTGATTTTTCATATTTTTTTCATAATCTTGTATCCCAAACTGTAATTTCTTTACTCATGCATAACTTACTATAAACAAATGTAACTTTTTAAGTTGATTACTTTGTTTTTAGTCATTTACTGCACCTTTATTTAAATGTAACAATACATGTTAAACACAGTGTATCTACCTACTCTGTTGCATGTAGTGTTTCTCATCTTAGTATTTATCCAAAAACGTGTTCTAAATGCAGGGTCGTCTTATGTTCGGGCCAATACGGTAGTACCACCAGAGCCACATGGGAAGTATTGCTCAGTGTAATAGAGGCTGAGGGCTGGACGTGGGGCTGGTCTAGGATCAGGGCAGGGTTGTGCTGGGAGGTGCTGTGAGGTGACAGGTTTGGGTTGGAGACTAACCTTTCTTCCGGAGTCCTTGCTGCCACACTCCCCTTTATCGTACCACCATTTGTTTTTCAGTTTGTCTAAGACGGCTTGCTCATTGAGTTTCAACACCGCTAGGTTTACTGGGATTCTTCCAACCATAAGGAAATAACATAAATAACATATTATACCATGTTATTTTATGTTATTAATTCAGAAACACACAGCAGCAAATACATACACACGTTAATGCTTGAGCTGGCTTATCGGTCAAAAAAAACTTATCACTTATCACACACACCACACACACACCCACACACATATATAAAGCATAAAAATCATTAGACACATCAGAGTCAAAGTGATATGCATTAATACTCCATCTAGCTTGGCTTGCTCCCTAAGGCAGTAGATGTGTATTACTATATCACTTTGGGTAACCGGCACACTGCTTACCCTCATTTATGCAACCTGAATGTCTCAATTGTATCTTTAGTTAAAAGCAAGGATGTAAATGGCCACATTTGAAAACTAAACAGGAATATAATCCATATCTAAATGGATGCATGTGGTTTTAATGTATCATTGAGCATGAGCGACCCAGCTGGTTTAATTACAGGACATTGATCTGTTTTAAATTATTGTCGCTCATTTTGTTTAAGCAAGGCTGATGATACAAAATCCCCCCCCCCCCTCTGTGGTTTTCAGATTCAGCCACTGGTGGCAACATAATCCCCCCCCCCCTTGGCACTTTCCCTTTGCTCTTCCCCACACCACAGAGAGATAAAGTGTTGCCTGAGTAGAAGTGCAGTGTGAGCCTGCCGGTTACCCACTTCCCCACAACCCTCCCTCCACTCTCAGTGGTGGTGGGTTACCCGCAGGGTTTTTCAAACTGGCTCTGACCTTGGAGTCCCCGCCCCCGCTGCCGCACTCTCCCTTGTCGTACCACCACTTGTTTTTCAATTTGTCCAAGAGGCCCTGCTCGTTCAGTTTTAACACTGCCAGGTTTACTGGGTTTCTTGAAAATAATATAAAATGATAACCATTAGGAGACACTCTATGGGACAGATATAAGAAGATTGGTCGCATGGTGGTGGTGATTATGACAACATTGACTTTCTATTTGAGACTCTCCTGCTGATAACTACTGATATGAAGCAGGAGTTCTGGCTTTGGATGCACATGTTCAATATATGTTAGTTGGGGCTAAAATGCTGAGCACCCATACAGTAGTAAAGTCAGGTTTTACCAAGCAGGGGCCTCAGAGAGAGGCAGAGCAGACACTATAAATGGAGATGACTTGGATACAGAGGACTGTCTACAGATGGTAATTTCCTTTCAGTGGCACCAGCATACAGATTGCTATGGTAACTAACCTATCAATATTCAACCCATAACGGCATCCTGGTGGATAGAGGCCCATGTTGATTCATTTATAACTATCAGCAGAGATACAGACTGAGGCTTTGAATGTTTTAACAGTCAGGTTCACTTTCATGGAAAGTTTATGTCTTTAACAGGCTGAAAGGAAACTGTGTGACCAACTATAGAGAGTCCTGAGACCATACGAACCGTCTCGTCCAAAGCATCTCCTCAAAGGTTGCTCTCTCTCTCTGGTGAGTGTGTGTGTGTATTTCCTATAGCTGACTGGCCGTGAACAAAGACTCTCTCCATCCACAAATCACAGAAAGGCAAAATCTGACATCATAATTTGCATAAAAGAATCAGTGTAACAAGACTTTGTCAGACTGTCTTTTCTCTCGAATCAGTGTCTGTTCTTCTCTGCAGCAGCAACAATTTAGCTTGGTAACATTCTGCCTTTCTCACCAGTGGACGCAGAAGAGTCTTTATCCCCAACCTTGAGTTCACAACACAGCTGTAGGGAACACAGAGCTGGTAAAACCTCTGAATTCTTTCTCAGCCCAGTGGACTCAGACAGAAAGAAAGAAGTCAAAGTGTGTGGACATGAATGGTCTAGAGACCTGCAGGTCATTATGTTAGTTTGATCAGTTGGTTCGAGGCGAGCAGATGTCAGGGAGGCTACTGTATGTTAGGCAGGATGGGGTAAACAGTCAGGCAGACATGGGGGTGGCTGGACATCGTGCATGTAAGAAATGGAGCAGGAAGCACAGAATATATACAGAACATTAAACAGAGGGATCGGGAAGTTTTCTTTGATGACCGCCCTGTAAAACAAAGAGTTATGTCATTTGAGTAGCTTTGTTTTCAAAGAGCTACTTTCAATTAGGGGCTGCAGTGCAACAAAAATAATACAACATATATATTTTTATATATTCAATGACAAGTTCAGTGTTGTGAGATCTGTTTTGGCCATAAGTGACAATCCACATTATACATGTGCGATTTCTATTCTGCTTCATTCCTTTGCTTTACTGCTGCTAGTCTCAGTGGTGAAGGAAGTATTCAGATCTTTAAGTAAAAGTACTAATACCACTCTGTAAAAATGAAAAATACATTACAAATTAAGGTCATGCACTGAAAATGTTACTTAAGTATGTAAGTATTATCAGGAAAAAGTACTTAAGTACTCACGCAGAAAAATGTCCCATGTGACTGTTATATTATTTCATCATTAGACTATCGCTACTGTTACATTAATGTCTAGGCAGCATTTTACTGTTGTAGTTGGTTGAGATGTATTTATTAAGGGCTGTAAATAATCATTTTCCTTATGGAATAATCTGATGATTACCTGCTCAATTAATCAATTCAACTGACTGTTTTGTCAGTAAAAGTTCAGAAAATAATTGTGTTTTGCCCAAACCTCACAATTATTAAAAATAATAAAAATGACTAAAATAAGTTATAGGAAAAGCAGCAAATATTTGAGTAGGTGGAACCATGAAATGTTTGGCATTTTGGCAAAGATTATCAAAATAGGTTAAGTTTTCTGTCAATCAGCTAATCGATTAATCAACTGATCATTTCAGCTCTACTTATGTAAATTGTTAGGTATGTACTTTAATTTATCACAAAGCATCATATTTTATAAATTCTTCATATGTTTTGTATGAAAAAATCTTAATCTAAAAAGTAACTACTAACTACAGCTGTCAGATAATTGTACTGGAGTAAAAGTACACAAATTTTATACTTCAGTACAGAAACTGAGTAAATGTACTTAGTTACTTTCCAAGACTGTTACTGTCCACTTGTGAGGCACAATAAATGCATTTTAATGTGAAGGCAGTGAAACGGAAAGTGTTGTAATCACGGCTAGCTAATTTAACCAAAAACTGACACGATGTTTTTCTTTAACTACAGTTAATCTACATAAGAATTATCCCAATGAGTTCCACGCAGTGTGAACTGGTATCTGATCGGTATGAGCAGATACTCTGAGATTATGTATCTGACTAGGTATCTTGAGAGAGAAAGTCAGATCGGTGCATCCCTAATGTTCAGCAAATTGAAAATTCAGCAATACAAAGGCATGTATCAACAATGCATTACAGTTATAATTGAACTGAACTCTTTGAATTGACAGGACATTCACATATGTCTGATTCTAGGTAAGCAGCCCAATCAGGCCACTTCTCCCTGACCCATAAAAAAACATTTGAATTATTCTCATTTCCATTTCTTTAACACAAAACGTCCAATCATGAACATTTGTTATCTGTTAGTGAAACTCAGTATCAGACATCTGTGAATGGACAGAGTGGCAACCTGCGAATAACACACATCGTTGGCTAATAATTAACACAAAGAGAGGGAGATAATGGGGGCCATCCTCGGCTGTTCAACACTGCATCGCATTGCTACACTGTACGTTTAGACCAAGCTGACGACATGATTTGGGAGCAGATTCAATTCACCACTTGTCTTACTACTAATACAGCACTTACTGGCAGTATGAAATCCAATTTGTCTGGATTTTATAAGGAGCCACTGACTAAGGCTTGTCAGCGTGTTCTGACCTTTGGCTGTCAACCAAGGTGGAAGCCGAATGAATCCTCAGAGAGTTTGAATGAAATCTCCCCATATGGCTCCTTTCATTAAAATGAATGGGGCCTATTAGAGACAGATTAAAAGCTTCAGATGCCACCAGCTCCTGTTCTCTCTCTGTAGTAGCAGGAGAAATATGAATGGGAAGTTGGTTAATATGTTAATGTAATGTGAAATGACAGCTGCTGCTCTTGGACATCGATGGCATAAGTACATCAAGTATGAATTATCATTCATTGCATCAATTATCACATTGAATATGGCAAATATAAATTCAACTCTGCTGACTTTACATTCAAGGTGCGAGCCCTGGTGTAAGTGGCAAAGTAGCCATATGGGATGTGCTCCTTGTATTTGGGATCCTGCTTCAAGAGCCCTGCTGGTTTGTGAGAGGTGCAGTTACATCTTGTATGTGTGTGTGTTCCAGGGGATGCTCAAGTTTCAAAGCAGACCGCATGAAACCAGCCATCGCAAATACTCATGAAGAAGAATGTAATTAAAGGGCAGCAGGAAAACAAGTGTGGGGACATATTCCATAGTCGTACTTTACACTTCTGCCAGTGCTCACAAGTCAGCTACGAATAGGCTGGCTGCATACATACATATGCAGACACAAACAAAGATGGGCTTCAGTCATGAATATGGGCATGATGGAGTTGTAAATGTCTGTGTGACGTGCACAAACTACAAACAAAATAAAAAAAGTTTGATGAAGTATTTTAAAAGCATCAGCATGCCTTCTACATCTGATCAGAATGAATTCAAAGTATGAAAAACAAAATCCTAAAACTGATATGTTATATTATTATGATAAAAAAAAGATGTACAAATAAATCAAAATGCATGAAACCAATAAATCCAAGCTCATGTATGTGTTCATACATGAGGAAATTCTGCAAATGAAGAGGTGACATATGATGCTCATGCATGAGCTCCAATAAAAGCTCTGGAAGGCTTTTATCCAGTGCAGTGGCAGAGGTTTACCTGAGAGGGGAGCCCTTGGGTGTGGCGATGCCATAACCTTTAGAGTCCAGGTTCCCTCCCACCTTCATGGTGTCGCAGGGTTTCCTCTGCTCTATGTACTCGTTCATAGTGGACTCCAGCAGGTAGGCATACTTGCCCTTGGACTTCCTGACTCTCATTACACCCTCGTCCGTGGTCTTGACAAACACAGATGGGTCAGCCGCCTTCATGTAGGACCACATCTTCTCGAACACAGCGATCTTAGACCTCTGACAACCAGGAATGGAAATGAGAGAGATGGGAGGAAAGAGAAAGAGACAGTCAGTGTGAATACTATATTATCTCTCTTTAAACTGTAAACCTACTGCTCCTGCTTCGCATTTAAAGCGTTCAACTGGCAAAACACAGGCTGGCTTTTAATATGAAGCAGTCACTGGAAACGTATTTTGTATTTGTCACAGAGGTTAGCGTTTGAATAAATGTTTCCTCACCCTGAAGAACTCTTTGGTGGAACCGGCATCCAGCGTTCCATAGGCGATTTCAGTCTGCTTGGCCAAATCCTCAGCACTCTCTATAGGAGACACCATCCTCTCCACTGTCAGGAAGGCAGCCAAGTTGGCAGTATAGGAGGAGATGATGATAAGGGTGAAGAACCACCACACGCCTCCAACAATACGGCCAGACAGAGAGCTAAAAACGGGAGGACAGGATGTTTGGTTGGATCAAAAATAAATACATAAAAGATACACATAACTGTATTACAAGATCATGTACACTCCAATTCATAAAATGTTTTCCCATGTTATTTTTTTCATGATATCAAACAGAATAAATAATATATATTAATGCAATGACTTGGAAAATAAATAGCAACCGTCTTTTTCTTCCTGGCCAAATTTTGCGCACAATCAAGAAAATCAATCAAAAACCTTGTGATGTTCCCACCATCCAAATGACCTACATTGCATCACGCTCCCTCTGCACTCACACACTCTTCATTCCACCAGGCTTGGAGAGCTTAGTCCAATGTGCTAAGGAAAGATAACCAGTTCCACAAAGGCCCACTCAGCTTCCTGCCTGCCAAATTAATCTCACTTTAAGAAAGTTGCCAATATGTTTCATGCAACCACGCGCATTAATTGTTGGGGATTAATAAGCAGAGGAGAACACTTAGACACTGCTCTAATTGCACTTTCAAAAAAAGAAAAAAAGAAAAAAAACAGGATGATTTTTGAGCAAAATCCCCTGAGTCAAATCCCTGTCTTTCCCCTGTGCATGTCTCCTCACCTCGAGAGAAGCCAGCTAGAACAGCAACAGCAGAAATCATGTTGCGTTACATATCAGGTCCCCGACAAGCGCGGAGGCACAGAGTGGCGGGGCTTACGCAATGAAAATGACACAAATCTGAAACAAAAAAGGCTTTCATGATTCACCTTTGTGCCGTCAAGCCAAATGGAGCATGAACATGAAGGCGAGATTAAGTATGGGGAAAAAAAAAAAGAAAAAAAAAAAAGAGAAGCTAAAACATAATCATTTAAGATGCTTTTCAGATGACGGGTGGATGATGAAAGAGCAGCCAGGGAGCGAGTGCAAAGCAAACACAGAATGGATGCAGAGCCTTTGAAAATCAGGCGGGAGAATGCAGAGCTGTCTGCAGTGTGTGTGTGTGTGTGTGTGTGTGTGTGGGTGTGTGTGTGTGTGTGTGGGTGTGTGTGTGTGTGTGTGGGTGTGTGTGTGTGTGTGTGGGTGTGTGTGTGTGTGTGTGGGTGTGTGTGTGTGTGTGTGTGTGTGTGTGTGTATTTTGACATGTTCACTGATCACTGCTAAAACGGCTGTGCGTAAGGTTAAGCTTTGACTGTGAAGTGAGAAGAGCAACATGTTTTTTCCAAATACCTCAGTGAATATTTATTACTGCAGCAAAACTGTTCATGAACAAGACACTAGATTCTCCTGCGTCAGAAGTGAAAATTAGAGCTACAGTTACAGAGCCAAAAAAAATCACTTTATATACAACATCTCAGTCCTTGGACCCTCATCAGGTAAACAGTACTGGTATTATATATATTTATGTAAACATAGACCAAAAAAAAAACAATAACGGGGCACCAGCAGCATCTCCCAGGATCCATACATGATAAGGTCTATTATTGTTTTCCCTCTACTTCCCTCTTTAGATTGTGGACAAAAATAGTATGTTACGAAGTATGAAATATCAAAAGATAAAGTACATATAAATAGTACATACCATCTGATAGGATCAAGATACACAAGGAGGACTATACACATATACATATACACAGATCAGCCACAACATTAACAACAGGTAACTGGTTTTAATGTTGTGGCTGTTCATTGTGATTTAATACTTATTTTTTTATTGTCAATTATTTCCCATGGCTTCATGGCTTTTAAGGTAAAAAAAAAAAAAAACACACCACATAACAACATAAAAACCAGTCACTTTCTTTTGCTTCTGTCCGACACTGATCTATTCACATGTACTGACTCAGCGACACAGTTGTTAACTGACTGAACATGGCCGACCGTTTGTGTGGATACATGTCTCCAAAGTCACCGAAATGTTTGTGAAATGCAATATTTGCGGGACAACAAAGGCGGAGCAACAACTCACTTTCTAAATATTTAACTGTTGTCCTTCATGCAATAATAAAAACATTGTGGCACTTTTGATATCTTGAGAAGGATGAGTGCGCTGCCACAGCCTAACCCCCCAGTTTTGCCTTCTGGTAAAGTTAAGTACTGCGTGCATACAAAAAAACCTAGCAATTTATTTATCTGATATTTGCTGCCTGGTAAAGCAGAATTAATATCATTTCTACTGAGTGGTTTTTACTTTAGCATCTACAGCCTCTGTAGCTGCAGAAAAAGGAGCGAGGGCAGGGTTAATGAATGTCACAGAGCAGTGACTGAATATGTGGCGAAAGCCCTGCACACTTTCAGCACAGCAGAATCTCTTAGACAGTGAAGTGAAAACAGTACATGTTTTCAAAATGGTACCACCCCCCACCAAATACAACTAAAGATTTGATGAGTGGATTTGGATTCAGATTAGAGAAAAATCGAACCTATTGAACCCCATTATCACAAGAGAATATTTTCAAGAACATTTTGTCGGGCCTATTACCCCCCCCCAAAAAAAAGAAGCAAAGTTTTATTATATTATGAAAATAGTTACCATTAGTATATGTTATAGAGACAGGTTAATACTGTGGAAATAGGAATATTCAAAGCACATAATCAAGATTAGAGCTAAAATTAAGCTAAAAATTATTTTCACTGTATTCACTGATTAACTGATTAATAGTTTTGTCGAGGATATTTCATAAATAAATAAAGATTTCTAATTTCTCTGAGTTCCCGTGACATACTTAAATGAATTTTTTTGCCAACCAAAGCCAGTTTACTGTCATATATACAGTATATAGAACTATATATGACAAAGAACAGGAGCAAGTTCTCACGTTTCAGCTGCTACAACCAGTGAATTTTGGCATTTTTGCTAAAAAAAATGGCTGAAGTCATTATTCGATTATTAAAATAGTGGCCAATTAACTCTCTGTCAAGACGAAGATTCAACTTATCAAACAGACAAGGGTGGGCCCTCACCTACAACAACATAAGAAAAAACTATTATTCATCCTGGCTGACAGATCAGATATCAGCCCAGGATGCTTCTTGTCTCCAGGAGCAGATCGAATATGAATTTTACATAGAGGTTTGAGGACAGAAACACTGTAGATGAAGTGAGTGTAAATGTGCAGATTTCTTTAGTTCTTTCACAATAACGATTACAATACTGCGCGCATTACATTGCTGTTTGAATTTTGTCTAATTACTTCTCAGTTCTGTGAAAAAGAGAACAATGTGATAAACAAAGACCCACCCTAAGACTGGGGGAAAATAGGGAAAGTGTGGTCTGTTAGGCTGAAACAGCGATATGAGAGAGAGAGAAATGGCAGAGATGAAAAGTAAACTGGATAGTACCACCAGAGGCTGACAAACTTCTTAGCTTTGACTGCTGCTGGCCTCCAGAGATGGCAGTAAACAGCTGTCTAATCCTTCTCCTTCAGTCACCCTTTTTTTTTTCTTCTTCTTCTTTCCTCCTCTCTCGCCTCTCTTCCTCTCCTTTCTTTTTCCTTTCCCCTCCATCCACCCTGCGTCTCCGCTGTGCTCTCAGCCTGTCTGTTCATGTGCTTGAGGGCTGACAGGGGTTTGTTTTTTCAGCCAAGACAACAATGGCCTACACCTTGGCGCTGACATCGATGCATTCAAGTATGCACGCGCGCACACTAGCACGCACACATAGATACAAACTTGCATACACTTTTTTCCTAAGGACAATGCAAGTGTGTGTGTGTGTGTGTATGTGTGTGTGTATGTGAACAACCGGGTCACCATTTGCTGTGTGACTGGGATGAGGAGAAATAAAGGGGCTCTGTGTGTGTGTGTGTGTGTGTGTGTGTGGGTGGGTGGGTGTGTGTTCGTTCTTCGGCAGCAGTCTTCCTCCCCAGTTGAGGAGAGCAACTGGCAAACACAGACCTGTTTGTCTCTGTTTGTTTCCTTTTGAACTCGCTTCCTTTGAGCCTCCTTTCCGCTCCTCATACATTATTGCACAGCAGCCAACCTTGGTGCTTTGGTAAAACATTAACTAAGCTGTCTTATTATGGTAAGGGAAATCGTCCAAGTAGCACTGTAATTTCATAGTCATGTTAAGGCAATGATTAATCAATTATTCACTCTGCCTCTTTTATTGCATTACTATGAAAAGGAACGGTAATGGAGGCAGCGCAAGCGCCAGCTCAACAGCCGTGGTGCGTACAGCAATACAGTAGAACCGCATGTGCATATCATTAGTGCTGAAATCATTTTTGATTATTGGACTATTGAAATCATTTAAGAAGCAGCTATACCGAAGAATTACCTGTTGAAGCCGCTAAATCTCAGAGATCTGTCTCTTTTTCTCTTGTCAGAGTAAAATCTGAATCAGAATGAAATAAAAAGACATCACACGCTGAAGCAACATGTGATGAGAATAAACAAAGTACCAAATTTGAACCCTTTCAAATCCCCTATTTTATTCATTTAGGTTTAGTTGTTAATTTTAGGTAACGCAGCAATTAAACCTTAGCGTAACGTTAGCAATTAAAAACCCTGCACATTGTCTAACTTACAGTAAACCATTTATTTGAAATGTTTCAGTGCTAGACCTTCATCAAGCAAATGGTTATTAAGAATAAGGAGCGATCTTACATGGGAGTGGCTGTAAGCTGGCACCCAATCGCATCACCTAATGTGCAATAGAAAGTGACAATTAACAAACATGAATTCACAATATAACAGTTTCCACTATCATACAAAGGGGTAGAGGATTAGAGACTCCATAAAGTGACAGAATTTTTCACATCGAATAGGTAAATGATTATAAAGTGAATGCCAGGCAGATAAACAACATACAAAGATCCACTCCCAAATGTTACATGTTACATATGTAGAGTAACCTGTAGAGATTAATACACCTTTCGAAAAACAGCATTAATAACTATACATTTAGTGAACATAACAAATAATTAGATAAAATCTCTTTAAATGGGCAAAAATACCATGACTGTATCATAACTGCAAGTTAGAAGAAACTAAATACTTAAGATGTGGAATTGAAAGAGTCACAA